GCTCAGGAATGATGGCTCCAGAGCAAACTAATTTATTCAGTAGCCAAATTGTTTGCTCATAACTTTAACGTCAGTAGCTCACAAAGTAGAATTTTTGCTCACAAGTCTCCACAGCTTAGAGGGAACATTGGATGGAGGTTTACAGAATCATACCTGGGGTGGAGGGGAGCTGACCAAGAGACCTTTTTCTCCCTCTCCCCAAATGCTAGACCTCGAGGGCATCCAATGAAACTGACGGGCAGTAGGTTCAGGACAGACCAAAGGAAACACTGCTTTACACGGAGGGCGATTAAAATGTGGGATTTGCTGCCAGAGGCCACAGGAACAAACAGCTTTTAAAAAGCGTTAAATAGATTCATGGAGGAAAAGTCTATCCATGACTACTAGCCATGGTGACTGAGGGGAACCTCCACATTCAGAGGCACTAATCCTCCGAATCCCAGAATCAGGTTGGGGGAAGGTCTCGGCTTTTATGCCCTGTCGTTGGCCAACCAGTATAACTGTGTGGATGCTGCACCAGATGGGCCCTCACTGGCCTGATCCAGCAGGGATCTTCTGAGGGTCTTATCAGGGGAAGGCCTCGTCCTCTCTGCCCTGTTGCTGGCCCTCCAGAGGAACTGGCTGGCCCCTGTGTGAGACGGGAGGCTGGGCTGGAGGGACCCTCCCTGGTCTGACCCAGCAGGGCTCTTCTGAGGTTCTTCTCAGGGGAAGGCCTCGGCCTCTCTGCCCTGTTGCTGGCCCTGCAGAGGGACTGGCTGGCCCCTGTGTGAGACGGGAGGCTGGGCTGGAGGGACCCTCCCTGGTCTGACCCAGCAGGGCTCTTCTGAGGTTCTTCTCAGGGGAAGGCCTCGGCCTCTCTGCCCTGTTGCTGGCCCTGCAGAGGGACTGGCTGGCCCCTGTGTGAGACGGGAGGCTGGGCTGGAGGGACCCTCCCTGGTCTGACCCAGCAGGGCTCTTCTGAGGTTCTTCTCAGGGGAAGGCCTCGGCCTCTCTGCCCTGTTGCTGGCCCTGCAGAGGGACTGGCTGGCCCCTGTGTGAGACGGGAGGCTGGGCTGGAGGGACCCTCCCTGGTCTGACCCAGCAGGGCTCTTCTGAGGTTCTTCTCAGGGGAAGGCCTCGGCCTCTCTGCCCTGTTGCTGGCCCTGCAGAGGGACTGGCTGGCCCCTGTGTGAGACGGGAGGCTGGGCTGGAGGGACCCTCCCTGGTCTGACCCAGCAGGGCTCTTCTTATGTCCTTCTGTTTGTATGTCAAGCATTCGCATGCAGGACTGGTC